TCGATTGGATACTAGAATTCAAATTTTCAACCTTCTCATAATTCCAACAACTATTTTCATGCTTCAAATGTTTAAAATAACCTAAGAATCTAATAAATAATAGGTTCCATCTTAATATAAAATGACAAACAAAGTCTAAATTTAAAAACAAGTAATCTAATAAAAAATCATTCGACCTTATTCTGTCCCTCCAATTGCAATAATAAAACCCTAAACTCTAAGTTAAATTAAAATATAATAAACCTGATATGTTATAGAGAAATATTTCCTGTAGTGGTGTTATAATGGGGAGGTGAAAATTACAGTGCCAGAAAAAAAAAATAATAATTTATTTCTATGTTTGGATCATAGTAGCTTGAGATTTGCCCAACCATTAGCTTCAAGTGTGGTCATAAAAAAAATATATAATAGTAAAAGTAATAATTTTTATCAGATAAAAATAATAATATAAAGCTTTCTAATAACCTAATATCACGATTCTACATATCTTAATTTATTTATTTTTCTTCAACTAGTCAATTAACCTTGTGTTAGTTCCACCAAATAAGAAAAAACATCGAGTTATCATTCGACTACTTATTGGTATATTTTTTATACCAATCAGTATTGTTGTTCATCATCTAATCCGCCTATAGTGAGGGCCGACGTTGAACATTAGGTGATCTCGAGTCAAATTTTCTTGGTCTTTTGCCATTGGCATTAGGTGCATCTCTATCCGTTGGCCGAATTAGTCAATATATAAGTTGTATGTAGACAATCCTTTGTGAGTCATTAACCCTTAGGTGTGAATTTATGATCCATTTGACATGACTTTTATTTTTAGTTTTTATAAAAGAGTTTTTCGAGAAAGTTACCTTTATTTTTGTTTGAAAACTACTTTGTAAAATAGTTTACTATTCTGGCGATACTTTCGGCTCCTCACATAATTTACCCGTAAGTAGAGCAGATAATTTTGGCCCAATCTATATATAGGCCATTTTAAGAGAGAAGATAAGGGAAAAATTCATATTTAAGGTGTATTCTTTACCCCAATTCAAAAATAAGGTAAATAGTTTAAAAATTCAAAAATCAGGTATGAATTTAATTAATTAAAAATATTTATTAAATAAAGATAACAAAGTCACATTTTGTGATTAATGGTCACATATTCATAATTATAAGTTACAGATTTATTTATTGGTCACATATCGTCAAATTTTTTGATCCCAGATTATTTTGAGGTCACATATCAAAAAAATTGTCCGTTACAAATTATTTTGAGGTCACAGATTTTTAAATTAGTTGGTCATAGATTATTTCGAGGTCATAGATTTTCAAATTAGTTGGTCACAGATTATTTCAAAAGCGACGCAGCAGCGTCTCAAACGCTGCTGCGATTCGCGATTTCGCGAATCGCAGCAGCGAAATCGCGAATCACAGCAGCAGCAGCAGCACTGCTGCTGCTCGCTGTTGCGATTCATAGGGGGGATGGGGATGGGGATGGGGAGGTGGAGGGCAGAGAGGGGACGAAAGAGAG